ATATTATGCGTGCAATGCATGGTTCACTAAACAGTTGTATGCAGAATTTTAGGCACCTTTGGTCACATTGTATGATTCAGTATCCCTAAGTCAGGCATGTCAAACTCGCGACGTCACGTGATGTCACGCAACGTATTAGGCCGGTTTTGCCATTGCCAGCAATGGGGTGGGCGCGGCTTCCACGTGACGCATCCGGCCCGCGGGCCGGCAGTTTGACACCCCTGCCCTAAGTGAACAATCATATGTAGACAATACAATAAAAGAGATAAAATATTAAATTAAGATAAAACCATTATTAAAACAGATAGTTGAGTGATAGGAAATAACATTATGGGTAAGCTGTTCATAGGTTTGGAGAAAGCTTATATTTTAAGAATTAATAATCCATTAGTCAGCCATGTAGATATATTCGGATATTTTACTTATTATTCTCAAAATGTTAACGCTGTTAAATGTAAATGTAAAATTAAAAATTAATTTTAACACAAAAGGTATGACCAAAATAATATATGACAATTATGTTTAAAATATAATATAGCTCAAATTTTAAGTAGCACATTAAAATTGTCAAATTTCTATCTAAGATAGAAATATTCTAAGACCTTGTGGAGACCTATGTTCAGATAAACTGAGTTTAGAACATGTAGGGCATTTTGATTGCAAAATGATCCCTGTTATTTAATATGCACACCACATGACTCTCACAGAAGTGAGAAAATTTAGAAAGGAAATATTATGCAAAATGCACCAAAGTCTTATAGCTTCCAGGCCCTCCAGAGCTCAGTAATGTTGAGGCCATCCTCTTGCTCCCAAGCATTCACCCAGCAGGTCTCAGGGCTGATCTGAACTATCTGTGCAGCAACACTGGCATGCTTCCTCTTGCATCACTCCTCCCTCACTGTTTCCACCATATGCCACTGCTAGCATGGCATATTATAGCAGCCAAATTCTTCTTTTACTGTTATCTTTTCTCTCTTTTTGCTTCCTTTTCTTATCCAGTTGTGCTTTGGGTTTTTTTTCCAATTGTTTGTAGAGCTACAGTCAGTAATACTTACTCATACTTCACCGTGCCTATCATGGCCCACGTTCAGTTGTAATCTAAACCAACCTATTGTCATGGTTCCGATAGATGAAACCCATCAAAAGAACTTCGAGGCAAAATTCTTCCTTAAAGAACATTTATTCGGGAAACAAAGTATCGGCACTACATAGTTGAACCCCAAAACTAAATTCCCTTCCCCCAATACAAAGCAACAAAGTATAATTCCCACCCCCAATAAACTGTCATAAAACACATTCCCCAATTAGCTTCAAGCGTGGGCTTTCTCCTCAGCTCCTCAGCCCGCCAAAACGTTATCAGCCCGTCCTTGAGTTCCTACGGCAGCGGTATTATTATGGCTTACTGAGCTTATATCCCATCCACCCCCCGCTGCACCTGAATTTTAAAAGTAAAGAAAAACAATTGCTCCCAATTGTGCAGGCCCCCCAGTGGTTGCTGCATATTCAACGTTTGCTGACCTCCTGGCGGCGGTGGCTGTGGCATCCCCAGTTGCTGCAGGTCTCCCAGTGGTCCTGGCGGTGGTATCTGTGGCATCCCCAGTTGCTGCAGGCCTCCCAGCAGTTGTTGCACATTCAGGGATTGGAACCAGCCCCACTGCTGTGGCACTCCCAGCTATGGCTGACCTCCCAGCAGCGGTGGCTGTGGCATCCCCAATTGTGGCAGGGGCCCCAATGGTTGCAGCGCTCTCACCTGTTGCTGCCCAGCCAACAGGTCATGCAGCTGTTGCATTATATCATGTTGCAGGCTCACATCTGAGTCTTCCCCCTGCATAGGTTTCGGGCTTGGGTGGTACCAACAGTGAAGACCTGGTCTGTGTGACTGATGGTAGCGATGGTCAGGGCTTCTAGAGGAGCAACGATGTCTCGAGCCTCCATGTTCAGAGTGGCGGTCGGGGCTGTCCCTCCTTGCAGGGCTGGAGGTTAATGTTGGTGGTTTTGAAAATGGGGAAGCCGCTGTGCTCCATAGGTGGGGCTGGGGCTTCTCTTCGGCACGGACCGGCGTCTGCTCCGCTGATCATCACGATCACTTGCATGGAAAAAATGAGAGGGTTGCTCTCCACTCTTCATCTCTAGTCCCTCAAACCTCTCCACCAACTTCTCCACCGATGCCCAATCTCCACAACCTTCATGTTCTCCTAGGTGCCATCTTAAAAAGCGTTCCTGACTAACAGCTATTCAGCCTCTGCTTCAATATAGTTATATAACTCTTGATAATTGGTTCTGCTATCAAACATCTTACTTAGATTTTTCTTCTCACATTCAACTGAAAGACTTTTTGTGTAACTAGAAGACCACATTTCTGCCTCCACATGGGACTCTCAAGTATATAAGGAAGGCTATCGTAATGAGTATAGAGGATGTCCTTGAAGAAAATATGGAAAAACCATTACAAAGGCAACAATCACATAAATGAGGCTTGAACCCAGACCAAGAAAGTGGTTTAGGAAAATACCTCAAATACAACCTTCACCCCAATTCAGATAAAAATAAATGGGGAAGGAAGGGAAGCACATTCAGACTTGCAAGATTTTGTTACTATAGCTATTCCAATAAATCTGTGTACAGTGCATTACAATAGTCAAACTGAATGGTGATTAACTATAAATCATCAAGACTTTGTAAGCATAAGAGAGAAAGTTAGTTGATATTATAAGATGGAGGTCAATCAGTACAGTATGTTATGTCATTCAGAGGTCAGTTCTATCCTACAAAGTACAAAATAATTGTATCTCTCCTCTACTATGTCTCATATACTAGAGGAAAGAATTCCAGAAAATTCTGTAGCAGAACTCTAACCTGCTATCCCATATATAAATATCCATCATATAAATAGATCACATATATCAAAGCACACAACATGAAAGGTAATTACTCTTTCTCCATCTGTTTCTGCCAACAGGAATAGGAATGTACAAGTGAAAATTTGGTGATATGATACTTAGCAAAATCAGCAAATACCCCAAAGAAGAGAGAAGATAATTAATTGAAGAATAGTTACTTGGATTCTCAAAATACTGTTCCTTCAAACTTCATTCTGTATCAATAACAAACTTCAAGTACACTTTTCTGGGAATGCTGCATATAGGTAACATGGGGATGAAGAATAAGTACAAAGGAAAAGTCTAGCTTTTAAATTATCTGCTTTATTGTTCCATCCTCATATACTTATTTGTTATACTGCCATTTGCTAATATCAAGTGAAATTAAGTGAACAATTTTCTCATGTACAACTAAAGGTAATAACTAGATAGTCCTCGACTTATGACCACAATTTCCATTGTTAAGCAGGGCAATTGTTAAGTGAGTTTTGCTCCATTTTACAACCTTTTGGACATAGTTATTAAGCGAATCACTGCAATTGTTAAGTGAATCATGCGGTCATTAAGCCAATCTGGCTTCCCCCATTGAATTTGCTTGTCAGAAGCTGACTGGGAAGGTTACAAATCATCATCAAATGACCCCAGGTCAGTGCAACTGACTGTGGGGATGCTGTAATGCAGGCATGTCAAACTGCCGGCCCACAGGCCGGATGCGTCACGACAAAACCGCGCCCACCCCATTGCCGGCAATGGGGGAAAAGTCACGATACGTCATGCGATGTCATGTGACGTCGTGAGTTTGACATGCCTGTTGTAATGGTTGTTAAGTGTAAAAAACCATCATAAGTGTCGTTGTAACTCTGAATGGTCACTAAACAAATGATTGTAAATTGAGGACTACCTGTACCATTCTTTATATTATGTTAAGAAAGACCCAGAAAACAGCAGTATTTCAATAAAAATAAGTCTTCACCAAGAATTAACAAAGGCTATGGGATTATCTCCCTAACTTAGAAGCCTCTGAAACTGAAATAATGACAAACCATAAAGGGAACATTATATATACTATCTTGAGCTCACAAATAAAAAGGAGGAAACAATTTTAATGAACAAATGATAAAATAACCTCGCAGTTGTCAAGATTTTAATTTAACAAACCACCTAAAAACTTTGTTATTCTATTATCCATGATATCGATGCTATATAGAGTCTATAATAATAATAATAATAATTTATATGCCATCCAACAACTTTGGGCAATTTACAAATTGTTAAAACATTTAAAAACAAGTAGCATTTTAAGAAAACAAACAAACAAAAAAGATGCAGAGAAAACAAATGCAGATGGGAACAAGAAAAAGAAAGAAAAGGGGCATCAATCATCCTTACCAAAAGCCTGGGTGGAGAGTCACATCTTGAGGACCCTTCAAAATAGCAACAGGGCAGGAGCCATTTAAATTTCAGGGGGAACCTCACTGCAGAGGATAGGCCATGCTACAGAGAAGACGTGCTTCTCTGTAGCAAAGAGGGGAAAAAATGAGCCATGTGAACAAAACAAGAAAAGCCTATTTACTCGTCTTATAATGCTTACACAATAATGCTATTAAATCTCAGTACTTGGCAAGTGAAGCTATTGTTTGATATACTGGAGCAATATGGACATGAAAGATAAATAGATGGAACAGCAGTGACAATATGAGTGCTTAAAGAATTAGACTAAAAAAAAATGGATACTCCATAAGCCGTAGGAATGACTCACCAAACTGAAAACTATCCTCTTAAGGTTATATTTGAAAAATAAGAGTGAAAAATTGTGACTTTTTTCCTATTTGGAAGAAATACGATACAGCATTTCTCCTGCTGTTTCTTCAATTCTTCCATGACTTTCAAAAGTCATACAAAAGAATGTGTTATAATAATGTAACAAAAATATATCATACTTTGCTTAAGCCTATGCAAATTCATCTTCTAAAAGCCCTGCTTTGTAAAAGCCCACCAATTATTTTTATTCCACGGCTCATGCTCCTTTTTTTAAACATATGCTGTTTCGAACGGGAACTTTCAATCCCGTCATAAATAATTTTCTACATATTGCAAATGACTATGTTCAGTTAGCGTTACCTTTTTTTCTTCCTGTAATACTATTTCTTCATGATACCGTGGAATATAGAGAACACATTTTTTCTTGTCTTCCTTCTTGATGTTGACATTTTCACAATGCACTGCACTTTCCCTTTAGAAAATTTGAGGAGATTTATGAGTTGCCTTTTAAATGCCTGAGCTCCTAAAACATGCACAAAATGCTTTTACCCTTTTCCCCCCAAGAGGAACATTAAAAACAGCTGCTTTTGCAAGAACAAATGAAAAGCCAGTTTGCTCACTAATAGCATAGCCTCCACTTACAGTATATAATGGAATAAGATCTATTTTTCATTTTCAAGTTTTCTTCTCGCATGTAGATTACCAATCAAACTGCAGGAGATGCAGAGGAGGCCTAGAAAGCTGTGTAACTATTAGATGCAGAAAAATTATGTTTCTTGCAATAATTTAGCAATGGGTAGTTTATGTATTCATATCCTGCCTTTACTATTGTTACAAATAATTCAAGGCGGCAAACAAATCCAATTTCTTATTTTTCCCACAACAACCACCTGTGAGGTGAATTAGGCTGAGAGAGAATGACTGGCCCAAGATCACCCAGCTGGCTTTCATGGCTAAGGCGGGATTAGAACTCTTGGTCTCCCTGTTTCTAGCCTGATGCCTTAACCATTAGACCAAACTGGCTCTTTACAAATACCACAGTATTTTTTAACATTCTTCTTAACATTTAAAAGCTTCTTACTGTTTTTAGCTGCTTTACTCTTAGGTCATATTTCTTTCCAAAACCACAGATTTTCACAGGAAAATATATTTTGAAAAAAGTATAACTAATTGTTCAAGGCAATATTTCTGTATCCTAGGTTTCCTTTTTTTATTTATAGCATGCTTTAAAAAAAGATGAATTTGGAACAGATGTTTAGATGCTTGAATAAAATGAAGCCGTTTGGTTGGAGTCAGACAGCATCAAAATCAAATTAATAAAATAATTAATTAATTAATTAATTTAATAATTAATGCCTTATAAAACTATGGAAATTTAAACTGTAACTATTTGTTTTTATTATTACTAATCTGTTTGTGATTTGTATCTTTAATGCATCCCTGTTTCAAAAACTTTTAGTATTCTTCTTGTGGCATCCTGTAATTTAATTGAAGGAGTAAAAAGAACATACATGAAGATAGGAGTTTAAATCAACCCTATCCTCATTTCCTTTTCCTTCTATTCTCTATAAAAATTATTCTATCTTTAGCCAAAGTAAGACTATAAGAAGAACAGCTCAAAGATGGCCATGATAGAAGAATCAGCATATTTCAACACAGACATATCTTGTCTTTGCATGCAGGTTGACCTTCAGAACTTAAATGAATCAAGAAAAATCATTCTTTAAATTCTAACTAGAAAGAGTTTCATACATATATTGAAAAACAAATCTGGTCTAGGGACTCATAACTATCAGTGAGTAACACTGATCATAAAGAAACAGATGGGCTGACAAGTTAACATTATTTACAGGCAACATGAATAAGCAACAAATTTTCTGCCTTCAGTCATTTCTCAGAACATGCTACTTAGCACTGCACTAAATTGACAGTATAGTAGGTGATAATAACGAACGTTTGGCTTCTTTGAAACAAACCATAGTTAATATTAAGATAACTGGAGATGAGAGGGATGATGCAACCATTGAGAACCATTTAATTGCATGGCATGAAAGAACAGAGGGAGGGGAAAAGTAAGCTTGGGAGCTGTTGTATCTTCAAGTTGATGAGGGGTATGGTTGAATGAAAAGTGCATAACGTGAGGCCCCAAGACTATATCTAGCCAACATAAGGTGTAGATATAAATGCTAGATATCTGAAAACGTTTTTCCAACTCATATGTGTAACACAATTTAAAAGACTGAGAACTAGGGCTTAGAGGAGAGACTCCTGTGTATATTTAATAAATAGGAAGAGAGATAGGAGAGCACATTTAAAAAAATCTGAAAGTGTTGGAAATAGAAAAAGATCAAGATCTGTTTTCTCTCTCTCCCTCTCCCCCTCCCTCCCTCCCTCCCTCCCTCTCTCTCTCTCTCTCTCTCACACACACACACACACATACACACGGGGGGGGGGTGGTGGACAAGACCAGTGGTGGAATTCAAATATGTGAACAACCAGTTCTCTGTGTGGATGCCGCTTCCGGAAGTCCATTCTGGGCCTGGGCAACAAAAAATTAACTACCGGTTCTGCCAAAGTGGTGCGAACTGGCTGAATCCCACCACTGGACAAGACAAAACATAATGGAGATAAGAGCCATTCTTGTTCAACTTATGAAAAGAAGTTATAATGTTAAGATTAGTTCAACAACAGAACCAATTTCTGAGGGAAGTGAGCTTGTTTCCCCTATATTACTTCGATTTTATGAGTCTGTGAACTATATAATTAGAACTATTCAACATTATTCTAGTTTCACTTTTCATCAGAGGCGTAGCGTGGGGGGTGCAGGGGGGGCCGGCCGCACCGGGCGCAACATCTGGGGGGGCGCGCTCGCACTCGCAGCTCTCTGCCCCTGCCTGGCTCACTCACTCTCTCTGCAGTGCTGGCTGTGCGAATCCGATCCGAGCCGCCGGGTCGCCGACGACGCCCACTGTGGAGGGGGGGGTGCCTTGCCCCGGGTGCTGACAACCCACGCTACGCCACTGCTTTTCATTATCCTGGTTTTGGAATATGGCCTCCAAACAACCCTCAAAACCCAAGTGTGTCCTCCCTGTCTTCCCCTCCCCCCCAGAATTACACAGCATTTGTTGGTTACAATGTTACAAGGGGCAAATATGATTCAAAGTACTGGTTGAATTACATACGGAATTATATCATAGTGTGCAGGTCCAGGGCCCTCATGTGGCTTAAATTCAAGACGCTTTTCTGTCAAATTGCCAAAATGGATCCCTTTATATTTCAAAGTTGGATACGTTTCATTCTGAAAGAAAATGAATACAGAGTTTATTCTCGGTTTTTTCAGACGACATAAGCAAAGTTTGAGCTACAATTTCATAGTATAAGTTCAGCAATCGTAGGCAATATTAAAGTTAATATACTGCATAATTCAGACATAATGAATAATCCATACCACTGCCAAAATCTGAAAATCTGCATTTTATGTACCTGAACAAATCCAAAAACACGTTTATAAATTCATATCCTGCAAGTACTATATTTTTCTTCTCAGTAAATTGAATTGATGCTTATATAAAACTAATCACTATTACAACCACAGATATGGTACAAATACATTTATAATAGATAAAGCAGAAAATATCTGACAACAGTTTTTCCCTTGGATCAGTGAATCGGTTGAATAAATCTGAACATACCGTAGATAAGTAGACAATTGTTTTCTATGTACATGACAATGTTACATATGAAGTAGTTTGTAACCTGCAAAACTAGAAAAAGAACACAAAAGTACAATAGTATTATAGGAATGGAATTAGAGCACCATCCAGTGGTTTCTAAAAGGTATATTCACAAATCTAAGAAATTTCCAAATAAGCAGTAAATGTTACCAAGGTGTATTAAAACATTTACAGTCCACTCATATACAAATAGTCCTACATATATTACTCTCACTGAATGAAATTATCATGACACCCTCCTGTTTCACTTTGCTTTGCTCAAATCTGAAAAGAAAAGAAGACTCAGAATTGTAACGGGTCACCAAATAGGCAATTCTAATGTTTTCTGTTCAAAAATGAGTCCCACTGAGTTTAAAGGAACCTTATTTCCAAATGAATACAAAGCTTGAGATGTCCTATGTTCATGAAGCCATTTCGGCAAGGGCTGCTAACAAAGAAACTTGGTCAAGAGTTCCCATATCACTACAAACATAGACAGGCTTTTCCAAACCCATTTGTGCTAACGGTAGCAAGAGATGTCAATCAACATCTGTTTTCTTATTTTAAAAAATGCTGCCAGTGAAGAAGACTGTTTTAGGATATTTGTTCTCATTGCAGCAACATGGAATCACAGAATGAGATAGTGGCAAAGGGTAGAAGCAAGGGCAATAGAAAGGAAAGGCACCTTCTTTGTAGCTTCCTCAAATTCTGTTGTTCCTACTTTCCTGAAGAGAAAAATGCTTCATATTTCCTCTACAGCAATGCTTATTGCAGGGTGTGAGTGGAGATTCTGTGCATGTAATATGTTCATGCGCATGCATGTGAAGAGAGGCTACTTCCTCTTTCCAATAACTCAGTTGCAAAATGCTGATCGATAATGGGCAAATAGCAAATTTATTCTGCCAAAATTACCTGATAAGAGTGATATTCAGGCTGGCAGAAACAGCAGGCAAAGCTCTCCATGGTTATTTGAGCAGTACTTTTTTTGCAGCTCCATGGGCAATATGTGAAAAACCCCATGCTCCCCTTTCTACTAAAAAAAACACAATGGTCTTTATCAAAAAAAAAATGAGGGGAAGATCTATCTCCTATCCTAGGTAAGACTAACCTGCTCCTCTCTAGATGATGTTTTCTACATGTAAGAAGCTTTTTATTATGAATTTAGAAAAAATACATCTCAATAATTCACTCATTCAATACAACTATATAACAATTACAAAACTGTGTCTAAATGAAAAAAAACATGAACAGAGGTACAAGGCGTTTTGAAAAATAAGTTATTTAAAATAATGTTATATTTCCTTCCGCATTTTGAGTTGCTGAAATCTATTTCACCAATTCAGAACTTCTCCACTATGCTCTGCAACTCACTTAGATCAAGCATTGTTTATCTTATGTTTGTACTTCAAATAGGCCGATCACTTAAATGGCATCCCTCCATGGATCCAGCCTTAATAGTTTCCTCACCAATAGCTTCATCAAGCAGTTTAATAGCTACTTCTTTGTAAATCTCAGTACTACTTTGCTTCTTCCTATGGTAATTGGAAATAAGATATATGTATATTGCAAAAATATTGTGAAAGTGTATTTAAAAAACTAGCCCTAATCAAAGAAATTAAAAGAACAATTGAGTATATTCTTTTGACTTTTACTACTAAATTATCAGAATCATCTTTTGATATTAGGAGAATAAATAGAAATGCAGAATGATAGAAATATTGGTTTAGTAGTACTGAAACATTTGCTTTCATAGATTACACACGATACACCATCTTTGCTGCAAGCTTTGGCAATGTAAAAATAACTGAGTCACACTTAATTAGCATCCTCTGCATGTGTACTGTTAGTATGTAATTACCTATATTCATTTCCTTCTTTATTATTCCCCCAAAACTTTACATATTTGTACTTCTTATATTTATGATTGTACTTATGCTTCTAATCAATGAAAATTTAAGAGAGCATACACCATAATATCTGTATTAGCATTACAGTCCCACAATTCTTTTATCTAGTATCTTTTTGCTATAGCAGAAGTTTAACAGCAGTTCTCTGGCAGAGCTAACTATATAGTATCAAAGATTTTTTTAAAAACCACATAATTATGTACTATTTGCTATTTGTGCATTTGTTTGCTGCAAAATGTTGCTTCAACTTTTGCTGAAAAAAGGGTTGATGTTAAAGAGTTGATTCTATAAGTTTTTCTGCAGTTATGAAAATATGTGTTTTGTTTCATTACAAACCTAAAAACCCAATAACTAAATTTGGTATTTATGAAAGAACATTTCAGTCAAAATCTCTTTGACATTTACAAAAAGCATTTCTAGCAATTGAGTTCTGAAAGCAATTTTAAGAGGCACTCTGACTACAAGCTATTCTTTCTCAGACTCAATAAATTGAATACAATTATTTCCTTCCCTATATCTAGGTTAACCTTAGCATTAAAAATAATATAAAACTGACTGATACTTAACTCACTAACCTGTGCATTAGTCACATAAAATCCTAATCCCTAATGGATTTTTTTTTAAAAAAAACAAACCTTTTAAAAACACAGACTGCAGAATAAATGGATGCCCTCTTAAGTCTAAATCATCATCCTCTTTTGCCAAGAAATGTTGACAATACCAACTTCAAGGTCGCTGTCATCTTGCTATGTCATTAGTAAATAAAATATGGTTTAATTGAAGCAAACTCAGCAAGGAGGTGCATTATTTTAAGTGAATATTACAATATAACTTGAAGAATTACTAATCGACACTCCTGTTGACAATAAAAATGGATGAAGGTGCTTTAGAACTTTTTTCCACGACTTTCCAGTAATTAAATATGGAAATAGATTCCATGAAGAATTAAAAGTCCCGAAGTGCATTAATTCTGCCACTAATGGACTGTCTTTCAGTGCTACAGCAGCATCACAGGTATTTCCCAGCATGTTCCCAGCATTAGGTAATTTATCAGTGTCAGCATTCCTAGCATGAATATGTAAGATAGACTACACAGATTTCAGATTAAATCCCATACTGCCTCAGATGGAAATAAGAATTTATCATATTTCAAAATGCTTGGAAAGGAAATTTAGTCTTTGTACTTTACAGAAGATAATAATTTTCGTAGGTCGACGTTCGTGAAGTTTAGTAACAGTATTTACGTATATGTCAAGAGGTTTTGTTTTTGTTTCTTATATTCCATGTAACAACACATCTTATATTACAATTATTCCTTTTAACTTCGTCCAGAGGATGTTAGTAAGAAATTGATACATCCATAATTTAAATAATAACTGCCAGGCTCACAAAAATGATTCTGGATGGTATGTAGTGTTCCAATATGGTAAAAAAAAATTACATTGTATGCTTTTCTCTTAATACTGGTTTGAAAAACTCATAACAGTATGATATCCACTGTCTACAATAAAAGAATAAATCAAAATATTATATGATACTATACTAAATTTGCTATATGAGCATAACTTCACCTCCATGACCTATTTGTATGTTTTCCCTTGGGCCAGAACAGTTGCAAACAACCTTGTGAAATAGGATGAGGTGATAGAAAGTCATTGCTCCAAACTCATTTATTGATCCCTATGGTTGATAAGGATTTAACTCTGGCTCTTCCTGGTTCAAGTAAAATTCATTGGGTTTCAGGCATATTAAACCCAGTTAAAGTACAAATCAATGACTATCCCATTTATATTTTTTAATCACCTGTTGATAAATCTGTCCTGAAAGAGGGATTAGGATGAGGATGAGGATGAAGATGAGGAAGATGATGATGATGATGAGGAGGAGGAGGAGGAGGAGGAGGAGGAATCCAGATACCATACCTAGTTTTGGTGTTATGCAATAATTTGGAAGGAAATCAAGAAGTGAATTTTGTTGTTTGACTTCAATATCTATAACAACAACAAAATCATAGATGCTTTAGCAGATTTTAGAGTTTTGCCCTCCTTGAACTTGTAACTAAAATCTAGCAGATTTGAGGAGAGCTTATGTTCTGATTTTTTTTAAAAAACAGCAACAATTCACCTGAAAAAAACTTACTCTGGAACAGATAACTACGGTAAGTGCATGTTTTATTTCTTCTCCTTTCTCATGGAACTCTATAGTATCTATTTAGGCTCTGTAGACCATTTTTATAATATTTAAGATTTTCAAGATAAAGCAGTCCCGTCCTTATCATAGCACCTAATTCCACTCCATATTTTGCAAACACAATTCTTCCCATTCTGCAGTGAAATCAAGGAATGGCAATAAGCAAGATGAAACTTAGGTATATAGGTTCCAATCAGTAAGAATACTCAAAGATAACTATGGAATATTATAATAAAACAAATCATTTTTTTGAAACAAAGCCAGTAACATAAATAATTCATAAAAGCAAAATAAAACATTGATGCATCAATAGAATCATCTATAGTTCATTTAATTCTTAATAAGATATCCTTAATCTTTTTAAAAGCTTAAAGATTTGGTTTTTCTTTTTTAATATCTAATACAGACATTTTTTTTATAGCAAAATGCTTTACAGTGCCAAAATCATGCAGCTCAACTGAATGACTCTGCTGCCCTCTAATGCACTG